AAGCTAGAATAAACGAATTATTTGTCATTCCTTTGTTGGATCTCAGAGGAGCGCTTATTAAGAAAAGGCGATTAACGTCTGAAAGAAGCTTTCTATTCTTAGTTAATCTTTCTGAAAGATATATTTTACGTTCAACATAAATTAGTCTTTTAATAAATTAAATATATTCGCTTTTACTTCAATAAAACAATGTGAGTACAATAACGCAAAAATAAATTAATATTATTTTAATCTTTCTTAACTAATAAATACTAATTTAATTTATTTAGAATGGATTGCAAATTATAGTTACTGTTTAAAGAACCCAATTTTTTAATGCGTTCGTGTATTGCATTTTAAGTTCGAAACTTAGTATTTACGAAAATAATATTGCACAGAAGCGGCAGCTGGTCCGCCTCTGTGGCATGCTGAGGGCTATGGTCATTTGCATACTGCGGCCGGCGTCAGACTCATAATCATTACTCGCCAAGCAAAATTAGCCCCTAAGGTACACTAGTCGACAACTACCACTACTTTATTATCCCTCAAACGTGTTCACTCATGCTAATTTGAAACCTTTGATGTGGCTTACAGTATCGGCTCTTGCTGGACTAACATTAAATGCAATAAAATAAGCATCGATCGGCTTATTAAGTTTGGGAATAAAGGAAAGTAATAAGGTATGTTTTAATAAGATATTTTATTCTGTTTTACTTTAAAATTACGGGTTTAAAAACGCAGAATGTTGATGAAGGAAAGCTGTTTATATTCATGTTTATACTTATTTTGTAAAGAGGAAAGATTTGTTTGTTTGTATGGAATAGGCTCCGAATAACTGAACAAAATAGTAAAGGTACGACGGAAAATTTCATAGGCAAATATTTTTTGCCATCTAGACGAAGTTGGGTTGGATCACTAGTATTTTACAAAACTTTGTCCATCTATTTAATTTCAATTTCAATCGATATTTATATAAGAGACACATATATACTTAAATCTAAATTACTTTGTAAATAATGTGAAATTTTACCTGTTCTTAAAGCTTCTAAAGAGAATATTGAAAGTTAATTCTACCATAAAATATTCAGGAAACGCGTACATAAAATTTTATCTTTTAAATCTAGCCAACTTCGGTCCCGTAACCTGAATTCTATTCACGCTTACATTATAAAAGACAGTTTAATAATAGAATGTTTGAAATCTTGCACTTTGCTCAGGTACGCGAGTGCAACGTAATGTTCTTGCAAAACTTTGCAACTTCTTAGTTTAAAATGCACCACTCGCGACTCTCCATAGCTTTTTAATCTTTTGATCAAATACTCTTACAGTTGACGACAAATTCATTCCAGTCCACAAAGATTATAATCGCAGACGTGACTTTTTCTACGATTGTTTTAGGCAACGCTATTTTTTGCGGTCGAAGACCGAAAATAAAAAACCTCGCGCGCCGTTCCCGTGTGTCATTTCTAACACATTTTAATTAGCATGTGTCGCAGCTGGATACGTTCGTGTGATAACAATAGAAAAATATAAAATAGCAGGTGTGAAAGGTAAGGTTTGTATCTACAAAATAAACGATTGTGTTAATAAGCAAAGAAAGAAGCTGTTAATCTTATATCTAGCACCTGCCTGTTTGTACAACGATTACAGCCCGAATTTACAAAGTAGGTGCCTATTTCGCTGTAGTACGTAACAATATTTCATTGATACTTAGCACGAAGTAAACGGTCAACATATTTTACGACTGTAAATTAACTTGTAAACGTCTACAACCGTCTACAACGTCTACGACAAAAACTGTTGACTGTATACGTTAGTGAAAAGGATGATCAATCGTATGTTGTGCCAGTATTTTTTGTATTTCATCTATACTAATATAATAAAGCGTAAACACACACTTCTTTGTTGCCTAAGATGTCGGCAATCACAGCATATTTTCGAATAACTCTTTTTTTTATAAAAAGCCCTACACTTAGGTCACGCTTTAGGCTATACATTTTCAGGCCGTTAAATTTAGGGTAAATATTTTAGATAAAAACCCTAATATGGGAAAGAGACCATAAGTTGCTGCCAACATCGAGGAAGCAAGGTTGGCATGGTTTGACATCATGTCATGTCATTTTGACATTTGCAGTTGATAATTTGACAAACGTGAACAATAAAATGAAATTTTTATAATTTTTTGCGGATGAAGTCGCATGGGAACAGCTAGTATGTTAATACAATTATTTAAAACCGTCATAATTTAAAATCCGAATGCTATAAACTCAGGTTTACTGTTCAAATCTTTGCCTACATTTACTATGTCAGGTGAGTTTCATTTTTATCTGGCTCTCTTCCAACTCATTGTTATTTAAAATACTCTCGCGACCGCTGTATGTATGTACCTTTTTCACAAAACAAAACACAATATTATTCATACAAACTACACAACATTATATAAATTCGTTCAAATTAGCAAAGTTATCGTATAATTTTGAATACGCTCATGTTGCGTACGTTTTTATGAATGTTTTTTTAAAATAACTTATTTTTGTTGTTACGATAATGGTTATAATGTACATATAAAATTCCGGTTTTACCCTACAATCAAAATGTTTTAATTTCAATATACGAATACTTTGAAATTTCTGACGGTACAAGAGGATACGTCCGTTCCGCGCTGTATACGAATGTAATCCTTGTATAACGCGAGCGTAACATCACGAAAATATACTGAAAAAGTTATTTTAATCCGTTGTGAGTAATTTATGGATACCGCATAACGCAGCGATGCAAATATTTTAACGGTACTACGATGTTCAATGGCGGTCGCTACTACAGATAATATTATATTGCGTTTATTAATAAATAATAAATATATTACTTTTTTAAAGTATACACAGATACTCTTTTAGTGAAATGCTTTAATCAGAAATATTTACTAAATACAACAATCTAAAATTACTGAGATGACGGATGATAGAGTTGTTTGGAGGACGAAAACCCGGTGCATCGACGGGAGTAGGATAAGGCAGGGGAGATGTTGATGATGAACAAAGTTAAATAGTTGTAACAATGAACTGTTAAAGCATCAGATATTAAATAAGGTATAGTAGAAAAGAGAAAAAAACAAAGTTTCATTTAACGTCTAGTATTGGTTAAAAATAAACTCTCCATAAATCAATATAAAAGTTCATCGAAATATCTGCATTCAAACAACCAAACGTAGTGTAGTATTTTTATTTCTATTTGAAATATCAAATAAAAATAGACGCGCAAAATTGCTATGTACTGCTCCTTACGAAATTCGAGATTACTGTCTACCCCTTTCAGGTTACATTATTATAATTGCATTTTATTAATTAATAAGCTTTTCCCGCAACTCCGTCCCAGTGTTATTTAAACAAAGATATAGTGAATAGCCTATGTGTTCTTCCAGACAATCCTCTACATCTGTAGCAAATTTCTTCGGAATCCGTTAAACCGTTCAGGCTACAAACTCTAACAAACATCCATCCATCTAAACTTTAGAGTTTATAATATTAGTATGATTATACTCTAGTGTTTTGAATTTCTTTAAAATTATTTACCAAAATGTTATATTTGATACATAGAAGCAATAGAGACGCGACAAAGCAGTTTTAATTTTAAGTGCACTTCGAGTAAAAATGGCTTCCCAGTTGCCTCCCCTTTGTAAAGCGGCAGCATTGTTAGAGCAATACTTAAAAACTAATCCAGACTAGTGCTATTAAAACAAACTACAGCACGGAGCAGCTCGGGCCCTGACATTCGCTGATTGGCCGTAGAGACCCTCGCAAACACACCGCATTGTTTAGCAAGAGTCTAGCCTCCCCCACTGAGATATCATTGTTCAGGTATTTACCTACGTTTATCTACTAATGTCAGACACCGCTGTTAATGGAAGGATTTTTATTTGCTTTGAGTGTACAAGGTTGAAATGATAACCTGTAGTTCATACATATGACATTACTGTGGTAGGCAGTTATTTATTTCGCGCCGATTCAAGGATTTCGTAGTAAGACTTCATGCTTCAAATGTGAACTATCGTATAAAAATTGGGATAGTAATTGTTTGGATGGATGGATGTTTGTTAGAGTTTGTAGCCGGCTGTAAGGATCTCGATGAAATTTATCATGGATATAGAGGATAGTCTAAAAGAATATGTGTTCAAAATACTTTTTTTTTGTAATTCGACACGAGCGGAGTCGCGGGCGAGAGCTAGTTAATGAATATGATTCATATCGGCGGCCATTTTGGTTAATTGATACTCAGGCTCCATGTCTGCAACCCGACACCACAGCAAAGGGGTTGAAGCCATTCTTCGGCTGCTGGCCAATGAGAGCCTTGAAAAGCCGATCGAAAATTTTAAGCCCTCTCTATATTTTTTTGTATATGACTAGATACATGCCTGCACAATGAAAGGACTATATACAAACATATTTAAAGGACTATGTAAAATTAAATGCTAATAAAGGTGACGAATACCAAACGACTAAATTAAAAAAAATAATCACAGTAAAGAAAAAAAAGAGAATTTTATAATCTTAGATTTTATAAAATAAAAAACATCGTCATTTGTAATATCATCGAAGATTGACCAAATTAAGTCTCAAGTTGTATTGGGCAGACTAGGATTCAAGTTTGAGTCTTTAGTAAGGACGAATTATCGTGTCTTTTTTATTCCGATCAACTATATTAAATTAATCGTATCTAGGATACTGCATATTAATGGTTTCCTCTGTGAAAAATACCCTATCCACTGCACCAGTGTTTACAATAGTATCGGAGATCGTAAATATTGATAAAGTATAACGCAATAGTGTAAGCAATGGGTTTATTACTTCCCGTTTCACATCATTTAACTCGCACGTGACTGATGTTCGGGCTTGTCCAAACGTTGCTATGATTTTATTTATGGGGTCGTATTTTGTTGGGGTTTAAATATACCACAGTTTATATTTTTTATGACCTTATCTATGATTTTGTGGGAGAATTTAGGAAAAAGAATATCCACTTACTGCAAGTCTCCTCCTTTGTCCAATAAAGGCCAGGCATCTGTAAAGAATTGACTTAGTGAAATAGGGTGGCTATTTACGCGTTTAAAACCTTCTACTAATGAAAATACATTTTTTTTTACTAAGATGGGTTGCTCAAAATTTGGATACGTCTAGTGGTTTAAACGTTGTTTACATAAATTATGTTATACCTCCGGGATATTTGATATTTATCATTTGTTTAAATTAAACACAATCTTTGGGAAGAGGCGCCCTCGCACGGCGTGTTGTGCAAATCATTGTTGGTATATCGGATGTTTTGTTTAGATTGTGGCGGTTAGTTTACAACTCCTGCGGCTGTTTACCTTACATATAGTGTGAATAAATAATTTGTAGACCCTTGTTAAATATTTAGATGGTAGAACGTCTTACAGCCGCACCTTGATAAATATCTTGATTCGTAATTACTTGTAAATTATTTATTAACTAGCTTTCGCCTACGACTCCGTCCGCGTGAAATTAACAAAAAACTAAAGTGATTAGCCTATGTGTTCTTCCAGACTATCTTCTACACCTGCACCAAGTTTCATCGAAATCCGTTTAGCCGTTTAGGCTACAAACACTAATAGACATCTATCCATCCATCTAAACTTTCGCATTTATAATATTAGTATGATAGTTGTATTAGAAGAAATAGGTTGATTTAGTAAAGTCTGGTCTGGGTTAAGGACAGTTTAGTTGCATTTAAGACCTCGTTGTATCACACTAATGGTTGTTATTGAATCTTTTTGCTGTCTGTTGTTGTCTGTTAATGGATAGATAGGTGGAGTAATTTTTCCAATGGTTATTTCGATTGCAATATTACAGTTCAATTCGCTCTTGTGTATTGATTAGCACAACGTTAAAATCTTATGCTTGTTTGTTCACGTTGTAAACATTTCTCGACCACTATCAAGTTGATTGTTTGCATTTACCCGAACTGTTCAAAACACAAAGATTTGTTTAAGGTAACTGGTAAAGTGTACAAGAACCCTTACTTCAGAAACTTACCTATTCTTCTATTAATACTTAATTATTACTTACGTAAAACTGGTTAGTTAAGCAATTATTTATTGTTAGACATGTACTTATATTTTATGCTCATGTAATATGTTATTATTAATGTTTACATTTGTTAAAAACGAGAAAAAGTAAACTTTGTATCCTTGTTAAGATTGACAACAGCGCCATCTATTTAAATAATAAGGAAAATAATTAACCAGCCAGTCAGGATTGAAATGTATTGTTAAAAACACATTTCAATCTTGACTTCATTCTTGACTTCTTTTAACATTCCTTTCAATTTTGATTACAAAAAATAAAAACTTTGTTTCAAGCGTGATCCCCTTTATTTACATATGCGAATGTGTGCGGTTTTGTTCACATTGCGGCCGAGAGAATGTGTATGCGTAATTACGGCTTTGGGACCCGATGCATACCGACCGCGTTTGTGGTGGTAGACTTTTTTTAAACTAGATGGTCCAATGTTTTTGAACCGTTTTGTTTTTGTTGTTGAAATAATATTTATTGACAAAAAAACTCAATTTTTAAATACTTTAGATTATACAGAACTTAATAATTTAAACAAACCTTTTCATAATTCTGACCGAAGAGTGAAACAACATTCAATTCAGTTTAAAATTACATTGGAATTCTGACCACTGTTAGATTGTAAGCAGCGCTTACGAAGAAATGTTGAAGAATCGTTTCAGTATACGGCCTTCAGAGTATCACTCTGCTTATAAATAAGGAGTTTTAATTTTTTCCATACAATTTAATAACAAAATCTTAAATCCTATTCGAATAATAAATCTATATAAAACTTATCTGAAAGAAAATTGTAACACAGTTATACATTAAAACAATAGGATATTTTAATTAAAAATGAAACTTTTAATTAAATACAGTCTGAAGTTTTAAAAACGTACCACCTGACTTCGGAGCTAAGAGAATTGGTGAACTTTTTACTACAACGCGATTGAAGTAGAAAGTTATAACGTCATCTTATGAGATATTTCAGTCATTTACTTTTTTACATTTCTAATACTCTGTTTTCTTTTTCAAATTGCATAATTAAAATTTAATAATTTTCTAACACCATAAAACATTACTTAACTAACTTTTGTCCGCAGAGAATAAAAAAAAAAGTTTACAGAGTATGTGTTCTTCCAGAATGTTCTACATCTTTGGCAAATTTCATCCAAATCCGTTTAGCCGTTTAGGCTACAAACTCTAACAAACATCTATCCATCCATCTAAACTTTCGCATTTACAATATTAGTATGTAGTATGATTTCAGTCAAAATACTTTTACAATTCTGATATTTTGTTTATTTTGTAAATTACATTAGTTATTGAAGTTTGTGAATTTTATTAACACCAAAAATCTTTATATAATTACCAAGTTTATATAATAACAAGTTATTATTAAAGAATGTTTTTCGTTTCATAAACTAGATGGTGTTAATATAAATAATCAGGAATGTTACTTTTCATTATAAGAAATTTCTTTTCCCATTCCTGCTTTATTCAATCAAGGACAATAATCCATTTACGTGATAAACGTCGGTATAACATATTTGTTAGGAAATTCTTTACCAAAATAACATTTCGTATCTTTTATTACAATAACAGACGTGTTATTCCTATCGTATAGTGAAAAGCCATGTCTCTTTAATTAAACTAGTACAATGAATGTAACACGTGCGCCGACCTGAGGGTCAGGTGCGTTAGATACTTTTGACAAGCACAAGCGACCATCGTAATATGACCCTTCACAGTTTATAATATTTTGTTTGGGATCCAACAAAGTTTATATTTTCCTAAATTACGGTATTGTTAATTTGAACCTTTGTATTAATTTGACGTTAAAACTTATTATGTGAAGTAATAAGTTATAACGTCAAATTTAACATCACAACAAGTATATTAAAATCAAATACTGCCTTCCTAAAAGTAATATTTTAACAAAGGAAGTAATTTTAAAATTTTAATTCTTTAAGTAGCCTAAGAAACTAATTAAAGTCTCTGAATGTTGTAATTTAGAGTTACAATATACAGAAAATAAAGTAATAATAAATACCAGACTCCAATCATTAAAACAAAAGTTGTAAAGACGTAAGAGATCTTATAAAAACCAGTCTTAAGTAGCAGTCTGTTGTATCTAATGTCTTAAACTGATATACATTGAAAGGATCATTGGGCTAATGGATCTTATCTGTGGAGTATGTCGTGCCGCGCAGAGCATGAGGTAAATGTTGATAAAACTTAAGTAAACTATAATATAAAATACATTACTAATAATAGACGACGATACTTTTTTATTTTCTTTTTTATTTGTAAGGTAAGAGAGGTTAATTCTTTTTAACAATGAGTCAAATTAAATTCTATCAACAATTCTTCTTGTTCTGATTTTAAACGTGTACTTATTTCCCCTCTTATTCTTCTCTACGTTTCTTGTAATTATCCATCGCTTTATATTTAACTAGTAGTTGCAAGCGACTTCGTCCGCGCGGAATTAAAAATATCAGTGATAATGTAGCTTTGTAATACACTAATAAATGCAAACAAACCAAATTTTATGTCTTTATAATTTTAATATAGACGATATCAATATTTATGTTAAAAGAAATGATACATTTTTAATTCCGTAAATTGACAAATAATTAATTGGTTCAGAATATCGCACCGCTGTGTCGTTGTTAAATAAAATTACGTAAGTGGTCGTAATAGCTTGAGTATCCTGATGTAAGATAAGATATATCTATTACTTTGTTTGTTAAAGTGTCTCACTTTAATGAAAGGACCGATATAAAAAAAAAAAACGAAATAAAAGCATTGCCATCGTTAATCCACGTTCTGTCAAAATCCTCAGTAAATAGGATTTCATCCGGCTGTATCGAATGTTGCTCAATTTATTAAGGTTCTTTCTATCTTTGGGGTCTTCTTAAAAATCAATCCGGTCTCGGAGCACTCGTTCCAATCAATCACAGTCCGATTGAAAATTCAATCGCAATAAGAGATGACTGAAGAAGGATTACGTGACTACATTACGGGATATCGCTAAAATAACTTTGTCGAGTTATTTTTTTTTAACTTTTTTGCGAAGGGCGACTCCCGAGGCGTCGTACTCTGTTTCATATCGCTTTGCCAAAGTTGTGATGAAGAGAAAACTTTGATTTGTTCGATATGTTTCAAACAAAGTTTTACGAAAGTGTGAATGTTTGAAAAAATTGTTTCTCCTCATTTGAATTTCATATTTGAATACGTTTTTATATCTGTATGAAATTGTTTTGTGCATCACTTTGTTTTCATGTATTTGTTATAGTTTAAATATAAATAAGTTTAAGATTTATTTACAATATGTTTTAATTGTTCATTTAATTAAGGCATAGAAGATAGAAGATCAAACATTATTGTAAAAAAAAACACTTAATAAATTTTAAATTCCTTTAAATGCGTACACAATCGAACATCGTGTTTAACAAAGTTAAAGTCTTGTACAGTATCTAAAGTTTAAAAAAAAAAAAACACTACACTATAAAGTGTAAGAAATAGTGTTTTCAAGAAAAGATGAAATCAATATTTTTAAGTATAATTGTTGAGACAAAAGAATTATGTGCTTGTTCTCAGATACAAGTATCCATTGTATTTTTTTAGAACAAAACATATCATCAATTAATTTAAAAAAATAAATAATAATTAAAGTATAACAATCACAATTCAAGAAATTTAATTATAAGAGTAATCTTCTATCTTAATTTTTTTTATAAGAGAAGGGGACAAACGACCGGCAGGAACGCAGAGGTGGTCAACGACGCTCACGGAGCATCACGCAACATCAGAGGAACTGCAGATGCGTGCAGAAAATTGTAGGCTCGCTTCTTGATTTATTAATTTGCTAAATACTTACGTCCCTTAGTAGTTTTTAAAAATGGCAAATTAAAATTGAATTACTGATGAAGTGAGTAACATTTAACTCTGGGTTATTTAACGTATCGTGGATACAATAGGATAA